AATATGCGCCATCTATTGAATGTTCTCCAAACTAATTATATTTGTACTCAGTTGTTCCCGTTTACGTTTCCCTTCTAAGTTTTTTGTTCTGGGTTAATAAGTCCGCGTGCGACAGTTCATGTTGGAATGTTGGAATTATTTTTGTAACCACCAAAGGCTCTTATCCTGGAAAAGATGAGGGACAATTAATATTTTTTGGTTTCACCGCCAGCAGCCTTTTTGGCCGAACATGTGTAATTAACATAAAGTATTAATTAATGTAAAGAGTTCATGACCTTCCGTTTGGCCTTTTGAGTAAGTATAATTAGCATACACGAATTAAATGAATTACAGTAAAGAAGCATCTACCGAGGAGATTTTGGTGTCAAATTGTGCGCGCTTAATTCACGAATCGATTGCCAGATGTTCGGGAATTTTATCACGAACAGGAGCCGAGTAATTATTAAAAACGGGTTTTCTTTATAAAGAAAACGCTCAATTTTGGATGGATCTATCTATCTTTTGCGTTCTACTTGCCGTAAGTAAATCCATAATATCTTTTGCCATTTTGCGTACCGTAATTTAGATTTATCTATCTATCCTTTTGCATTCTACGTGCCGGAAGTAAGTTTGATCTTTTGCCTGTTTTATTGACCTTTGTCCGACCGCGATATTAATTTCCCAAAGTAAGCCGTTTTTTTAACTTCCGAATTTGCCCGATATAGAAACCGCCACTTTAACTGTGACTAATTACTTTTCTTTCGCTAGGAAATTTGCCGGTAGCCCATATTTTTGCTCTAGAGTTCCAAACAGTACCGCCGCCATTTTGAACCTGCCCGCCGATCCCTGGAATTAACATCTTCGATTGAGACTACTTCCGAGGCTACCGAAACCGACCCGTCCGCCCTTGATTACCGCCGACATCGTCCAGGCGCGAGATTTTCGTCTGGTGGCGCCCTAGTCCGTCCGTCCGTCCTCTGCTCCGCCGTTTTCTACCGCCGACTACTTAATTAAAATAGACTCAAATAATACTTCGACTAATTGGTCTTTATTTCCTCAAGTTCACCGGCTATGCGCGAGTAGCCCAAGTTCGTTGCATTGTATTTACCTGAGCCCTCGCATGAGCCCTACAGTCAAGTGTATCTTTCAAAATAGTCGTCGGATTTGAAAACTAAACCATATAGTCCAGGAGGCGGCCGCGAAAATAAGGTGATTGGAAGACTTTTCACGGGAAGACATGTTTAGTATTACGTTTTTTGCCTACTCAAGAAGAAAGTTAGTGGGCAACCCGAGATTATCGACCCAGTTCAATTAAATCCATCCGCCGGAGAAACTTATTGGGAACATTTCGTGAACCCGTACCGATTTCGATTCGAAGATTATCGAACCGAGAAAAAAGCTAACGTAGTCATTTAAAACCAGCTCCAGTTACTTAATAAAAAAGGGCTTATCCGTTCGAGATATTACGTATTTAAACATTCGCTGACAACGCTTTGGTGTGCAATTAATATTCTTCAAATTAACTCGGCCGTTGTATGATGCGACATTAACATCAGGAACGAAATGTCCATTTCATGGCATCCTAATTAGAAGGCGCTCCAGTTTTTCCAAAGTTGGACGACTAGATGGTACTTTCTAGAGGTCTGATAAATAAGGTCATGTGTATTTTTATATTTATTTTTCATTTGCCTATTATATGTCAATTATATCTGTCATATGTGATATATGAAGCAGTCTATTACGTCCAAGGGCATAATGAGAGGGCATAATGGATTGTCATCTCATTATGCCCTCAAACGGCCTGTCAAATTGATTGACGGAGTTATATTATGTCATAAAAAAGATGCAACTTGATTCGTATAGCACTTTAATGTTGGGCAAACAATAATCATGACATTTGTATATTGGAAATGCATTCTTTGGAACGATGAAAAATAAAATGTTGTATGCACCTCAGGCATTACTCAATATTTAACCCTCGGGCGACTTACAATCCCTCGGGCCGGAGGCCCTCGGGTTCTGTCGCCCTCGGCATAAATATCGCCTTAATGCCAATGCCCTTGATGCATAAATAACTATTATGTTTAATACAGTCCTTTAAGAATTTTAATTATAGTCCAGTCAACTTATCATAATACCTTGCATCAGATATGTCATCTCTAATTTTTCTTTTAAATTGTTAGGATGAATATGGATGTCAAAAATCCAAGTTTTCGACATCCAAAGACCTGTGCGAGCAAAGCAGCACTCGAAAATACGTCATTTTTTATATTATTTTTAGGTTTTGGTTAGTTTTAGTTCTGAAGGACAGATTTTAAAGCAATTACCGTCGTATACTTTTTTAAACTAGAAAAAATTTGCGACAATTCAAGTCCTTATCCGGATCTGTAAGTCTAATAGTTTTGGAGATACAGCGTTTCAAAAATCGTAAATTCTTCAGTTTTAATCAAATTTGCCTTTTTTCGCATAAAAACCTCATGAACATATTGTTCGTTTGGGGGGACTTTGTGGTGAGGAGTCTCCATAAATCCGCACAGAAAGAGCTAGAATGTTGATATCCTCTGGATCCCCAGCATCTCCCATGATAAGAAAGTTGTCATCGTCTTCTTCAGCAAGATCCACTACCTGTTGCAAGGATTGCGAAATCTGTGAATTTTTTCCTTTTGCCTGACCTTGCTCGGCCATTCAAAAGGGCCACCGAATATAGAAGATCTGGAACAGTAGCAGAAAGATTACTCACAACACTATGGTTTGAATGAATAACGCATCATATAAACATGGATATTTTTCCACTAAAAGACAAAAAACAATATTTAATTTGCTTTCATTATCCGCAAGTTTTAGCACTTCTTCAACAACAAGTTTATTACGACTTACGACCAGAGTTGGACTGGGTCAAGCATTGAGTGACCCAGTGACCCGGTGACCCAGTTAGTTTACTGACCCAGTAACCCGGTGACCCAGTTGACCCGGTGACCCAGCTTGACCCGGTAACCCAGCTTGACCCAGTGACCCATCTTGACCCAGCTTTACTCAGTGACCCGTCTTGGCCCGGTGGCCCAGTAATTAAATTATTGTTAGGTATCATCCAAAACAATTTCAAGTAACTTTTAATTTAAAAAAAAACTTCCTCAATAATATTCGCCAACAAGCACGTAGCCCAATTTCATTCAAGAGAACTAATATCTAAAAAAATCAAATGCATTTGTTTATAGTTTGTAGTCAAGTAGTCAATGAAAGTATTTAGAGAAAAGATTTATTTGGATTAAGCTAACATAAGCAAACTGGTAAGCCCTGAAGCAAAGAAATAACATTATTCCAATACAATTCGGGACATGGGAAGTTTTTTTACGGCAGTATTAAAGCAAACACCACAGAAATGGCAGCAATGTCAAGCAATCGAGCATTATTTTCAACAAACCAGCATTTCATTTATTTCATAATCTGAACACTTGAACCGAGGGTACTGACTTAACTGCGTTATTCGATCAAACTAGGTGACTGGGTCGAATTGGGTCCCCGGGTGAAATTGGGTCGCTGGGTCAAACTGGGTCACTGGGTCTTGGTCACTGGGTCAAACTGGGTCACTGGGTCAAACTGGGTCAAGTTGGGTCACTGGGTCAAACTGGGTCACTGGGTCTAACTGAAAAGAGTATGACGTGACCCAGCGACCCAGTGACCCAGTTTAATTTAGTGACCCAGGTGACCCAGTGACCCAGTGACCCAGTCCAACTCTGCTTACGACTTACGACAATTCTTCGTGCATATTTTATAAGTTTACTTTCTGCGAAGAAAAAACACAAATTTTGATAAAACTTGTAAAACTAATAAATTTACCAATAGTTGAAGCGCCGTATCTCGGAAAGTATTACACTTGTGGAGATGGTTAAGGGCTTAAATTGTCAGAAATTTTGTCTAGTTCAAAAAAGTATACGACAATAATTGCATTAAAATCGCTTCTTCAGGAGTAAAACTTACAAAAACCAAAAAATGGTAAGAAAAATGACATATTTTCAAGTGCTGTGTCGCTCGCACAGGTCTTTCAATGTCGAAAACTTGGATTTTTCACATCCATATTCATCCTAACAATTTAAAAGAAAAATTAGAGATGACATATCTGATGTACGGAATGCCCATTTTTTGGTCTAATTTGACTGTACTATTAGATGAGACTTCGATTTTTTTTACTGTAAGATAAATATAAGTTTTTTACTTATGGATATCTTTGAAATTAGAAATATAGAACGTGACCACGTATCATAGTGTTTTGGTTACTATAGTAGATGTTTTTTATTTAACCTAAGATTTTTTTGTTTTAAGGGGTAGAGGACCGCCTGATTTATCTAAACTACTCTTAAACGACAGTTTTTGCCCTGTAAATTTAAATTTCTTTCCACCTTCGCCACGCCATGTCATTGCAAGGAAATGTAACCACCACCAGCATACGAACCGTAATTTTACTAAATCTGTAGTAATGGTAGGTACTAATAGCATTAGAATACCACACTTTTCAATCTTCTAAAATCAAAGTCGTTGACTAATTTGGGACCAAGTAGAACCCAAAAGGCACTAATCCAGTTCTTTCATCGTTTGCTTGAAAGTAGTCCATGGATTTCGAGCTAGGAATTAATTATCTGAGTTACTTACCTACCTGTCAATAAAATAAGGGAACTGGTATCATCCCGATTCTTAGGAGCTTAAGAGCCTGCTCAAAGTGTTTGGTTACCTAAACAGTTAATTGAGGATGACGTAAACATTTTCCTTGTATCTGCGCACTTGTTTTGTCAATTCAATTGTAGACTGAATCTAAATACGGCAATTATAAGGCTTCAATTAAGTAAAATACAACAATCATTGGGAAATAACAAATCACCAAAAAACAGTTACAGAGAAATTATATACCAAAAAATTTGGATACGTGCTAATTAAACTTGTGTAATAAGTATGTATTATTACCAGTGTCTCAAAGGTAGGCCGGTGCTATTGAAATGATGATGATATATAAGCAGTTGCCATTTGTACTATGTTTTAATATTATCGCGATGAGGACAGTTTTCGCGTTCGCGTTCGTTTTGGCACTAGCAACAGCAGAAAAGGTATGTTAAGATACCGATTGTGGTATATCCCGCTTTATCTCCTTAAAGGTGCCTACTGCTACCCAACAAGCATGGGATACCTTTACAAAGCCGTTCAGTGCAGAATGTGTTGCAGAAACAGGTGTTAAACAAGAGTATGCGGACAGATTGTATTTGTACGGCGAGTATCCGGAAGACCATGCACTAAAATGCTACGTAAAATGCATCAGCGAACGTTTGGGAATCTTAAACGCTGCCAGTGGAGAATGGATCTTGGATATGGTTCTACGTATTCCTGGTATAACGTCCGAAATTTTCGGAACGTGTAATGATGAAACGAAGGCCGATCCGGATGTGTGTTCAAAAAGCTTTGCAGTTTTAAAATGCTTTGCTCGCCACACGTAATTGCAAAATAAACTGTAGAATATGACCCTTAACTATAATATTAAGATCAGTGTAAATAAATATTTGCAACAATTGCAACAATGTTTAATGCTTAGTCCTACGACTGCACTTGAGAAGGATAATCAGAATCAATCTGCAGATAATCACGAAGAATCCGGAAGTTCTCATTCCTGGGCAGGTACAGGAATATTTTCAATCTCTGTCTCTCTGGCTGCATTCTTGGGAATAATGATGGATACTTTCTTCCGTTTGCGCTATCACTTCTTCCAGCGACCGGGGTTCGCCACTTGTGATAATTCCAAAAGTAGATGGTGGAGTAAGGTTCTGCGTAGATTACAAGTGTGGAGGAAATGAACGATTAGTATCATCAAACCACCCCATTCGGAAAATTGACGACATCTTACACAGCTTGAGGAATTCAAAGTTCTTTTGTAAGTTAGACTTATATAAGGCATATCTGCATTTAAAAGTCAGTCCGAAAAACAGCGAAATTCAAACACTGGTCACACAAAGGGGAACATTGGTATTAAAACTGTCCCTCCCGAGTTTAATAGAATATTTTCTGGAATATTACAAGGATTGAATGAGTCATAGAAGATGAATGTATCGCCAATCTAAGAGCATGTTTAAAACGATTAGACGAAAATGATCTCCATTTGAACAAAAATAAAATAATGTTCATTTTACAAAGAAAAAACGAATTATTTCGGCTATACAATTGAACATAATTGTATCAGCAAATCATCAGGAAAAGTTTCGGCAATATCAAAAATACCTAGACCATCAAACATTGAAGAATTGAAAGGGTTTTTCGGGATGGTTACCTGTATGCAAAATTTATTCCCGATTATTCGACCTTGACGTATCCACTCAGAATGCTACTGAAGAAAAACCAATGTGAATCCGCATTTTTAACATTAAAACGAGAACTTTGTTGTGATAACGTTCTACTATCATTTGATCCACAATTGCCTCTTATGTTAACAACAGATGCAAGCCCTGTAGGAATAGCTGCTATATCCTCAGTCATCAAATCAACGAGTGCGAGCGACCCATTGCATATGCATTACGTAGCCTTACATCATCAGAAATGAACTACAGCCAGTTACACCGGGAAGTTCTAGCAATAAATTGTGGAGTCAATTATTTTTTTGATTAGCTTATGGGAAACAGTTTACATTAGTAACAGGTAACCACCCAATCAGAGTTGGACTGGGTCAACTGGGTCACCTGGGTCACTGAATTAAACTGGGTCACTGGGTCGCTGGGTCACGTCATACTCCTTTCAGTTAGACTCAGTGACCCACTTTGACCCGGTGACCCAGTTTGACCCAGTGACCCAGTTTGACCCAGTGACCCAACTTGACCCAGTGACCCAACTTGACCCAGTGACCCAGTTTGACCCAGCGAACCAATTTCACCCGGCGACCCAATTCGACCCAGTAACCTAGTTTGATCGAATAACGCAGTTAGGTCAGTGCCCTCGGTTCAAGTGTACAGATTATGAAATAAATGATATGCTGGTTTGTTGAAAATAATACTCGATTGCTTGACAACTGCCATTTCTGTGATGTTTGCTTTAATACTGCCGTAAAACACTTTCCATGTCCCGAATTGTATTAAAATAATGTTATTTCTAAACAGTTCCCTCCTTCATTTCTTTCCTTCAGGGCTGACCAGTTTGCTTACAGGTGTTCATTCACATTTAATTTTTTTCTACTAGTTAGCTTAATCCAAATAAATCTTTTCTCTAAAAACTTTCATTGACTACTTGACTACAAACTATAAACAATGCATTTGATTTTTTCAGGTATTCGTTCTCTTGAATGAAATTGGGCTACGTGCTTGTTGGCGAATATTGAGGAAGTTTTTTTTAAAATTAAAAGTTACTTGAAATTGTTTTAGATGATACCTAACAATAATTTAATTACTGGGCCACCGAGTCAAGATGGGTCACTGAGTAAAGCTGGGTCACCGGGTCAAGCTGGGCCACAGGGTCAAACTGGGTCAACGGGTCAAGCTGGGTCACCGGGTCAAGCTGGGTTACCGGGTCAAACTGGGTCACCGGATCAAGCTGGGTCACCGGGTCAACCGGGTCACCGGGTCAAACTGGGTCAAGCTGGGTCACCGGGTCAACTGGGTCACCGGGTCACTGGGTAACCGAGTCACTGGGTCAGTAAACTAACTGGGTCACCGGGTCACTGGGTCACTCTATGCTTGACCCAGTCCAACTCTGCACCCAATGTCAAGAATCCTGCATCAAAACAAATCGCTGCCGAAAATGACATCTGCAAGACTACTCCGGTATGCATCATTTTTATCCGGATTTGATTACAAAATCAAATGTGAAACAAACAGAAATTGAAAACCCTGATTGTCTATCAAGGGCACCAATCCAAAAAAACAAGAATTACAACAGGAAAGTCAATCAACAAAGAAGTGTCTGAATTATTTGCTCAGAAAGTTTCTCTAATATCGAGTGAAGTAATTACTTACGATACAATTAAGCAAGAATCTGCGACAGATCTAGAAATTCAAAGAATCATACAGCATCTCCATTCTAAAGTTAGAGATGAACCTTACACTTTTGAAAATGGCGCTCTCTTTTATCAAGATAGAATACTAATTCCCAGCACACTCAGACAACAGATTCTGAAAGAAATTCATTCAACCCATATTGGAATAGTTAAGATGAAACAACTTGCCAGGAGATATGTTTATTGGCTAAAAATTGATTCAGAAATTGAAAAATTAGTAAAGTAGTGTGAAGAATGTGCTAAGACTCGGCACAATCCACCAAAAGCTCCAATACACCCATGGGAAGAACCAGAGGAGAACTGGGAATGCCTTCATGATTATGCAGGTCCATTAGATGGATATAATTTTCTTATAGCAGTGGATGCAAAATCAAAGTGGGCAGAAGTACGCACATCAAAAGAAGCACCACCAACTGCTGTAACTATAAAACTATTAGAAGATATTTTCTCGACACCTGGCTATCCTCCAATCCTTGTGTCTGGTAACGCTAAGGCATTTACTAACAAAACATTCATTGAATACTGTAAACGTCAAGGTATTTTCCAAAAGTTTATTTCACCTGGCCATCCGGCAACGAACGGACTAGCGGAGAGAAATGTTCATACATTAAAGTTGCGATTGAAGGCAGCAACCAATGATCCATCTCCAATAAACGCAAAAGTTCAGCAAATCATACTTAAACACAGAGTCACGCCTCTTTCAAATGGAAAATCACCTGGGGAATTTTATTTAAATCGAAAGCTGCGTATTCGTTTAGACGCCATCAAACCAAATGTAATAGGGAGGAAAACGACAGCCTCATCCTTCGGAGGTACTCGCCAATTTCAAGAAGGGGAAAGAGTCCAAATACGTCTCCATGTAAATAATAAAGATATATGGAAATTTGGAACCGTAGAGAGGAAACTGGGAAAACGGCACTATATTGTCGCAATCGATAGTGAGCGGTCAATAAAGGTCACATTGATCAACTTCGGTCAACACTAGTCCCGGAAGAAGACGGTTACCTTCGCTCCGATTTTAAATAGTTATAGTCCAGCTAAGCCACCAACAGGATTCATAATTGTGGTTCCAAAAGAACAGTTATCTGAGACACAACAAGATGAACAAATACAGCCTGTGCCAGTTGATGAAATACTGAATCGACCACCTCCTGAACCACAAACCACCAATGTTTCAGGCAGACCAATCCGGGTCATATTGATTTTAATCAAGTGGGGGAGAATGTAGTATACCTATTTTAAATCTTCCAATATCGAAAGTTGGCAAACCGGGATTTGCTGCTTAGTTACTTGTAAATAACACCCTAAACCACAGGGCTTGGTGGAACTTGATGTTATATTGTCGCCACGCGACGGAGGCCTTCAGAGGACCGCCTGGCGCGTTTCTGCACAGAGCTATCGGGAAAGAACTTAAGGTTGCTTATTACTGTATTTTCTAGGTACTGTAAACCAAACGAGCACTTGTATCGTTTGGGTTTGGTATAGTACCATATATAAATGACGAGACGACATACCACATATTTTGCCTCTTAGACGAACCAATGTTGGGGGTATCCTGGCCAGAGTTGGCTACGATTAGAGCCGCTTCCCCTTCCAGCATCCTTACTTTCATCTCACGTGTGGGATGGCTAGAGTGACGTTGAGGGATCGTACGACTTTAATCAGGGAGGTAGTACAAAGTGCCCGAATGGGAGGCCTAAGTCCCCTATCGTAATCCAGAATAATCGCAACCAGAATTATATCGTAATAACTAAATCAGCAAGGCTCCACAGAATATTAAAGATCTACTTTTACGGTAAAGGTGGGTGAAAGAATACTTGATGTAACTACACGTCTGCAGTGGTTTTAATTAATAATTTAAAATTTAAATAAGTATAACTATGATCAGTTAACAAGTACAATATAAAATTATGACTAATTATTATTAAATTATGGTATCGTTTCTAAAACATACACTTTAATGCAATAATAATTTACTCAGGACTTATTGCCCTGTAGACATTACTCGATATCTATCTCAAACATGTTCCTTTAAAGGTCTGACAAATTTTCATTTCATGTTTACGGTAGATAAATTAATCTTAGAGTTTGTATATAAAATATAACACATTGCTTTTTGTGAAAGCTAAACGAGCACAAATATTAAAAAGGTTTACGCTGATTGTTCATGGAATGGACAACGCATGAATTACAATTATGGTTCTCTTACATGGCTGGCAAAGCACTTGGACAGATCAAAGGTCTTTTGACACAAATTTGTAATGGCTTTCGTTTCGTCGTTACAGACTGCGTATATTTCGGGCGTCATGCCTGCAACACGCAGAAACGCATCCACGATCCATTCGCCAGTGGAGACGTTAAAAATCCCCAATTCTTTGCAAACGCACAACATATAGCATTTTAAAGCGTCGTCGTCTGGATATTCGCTGTACAAAAATATTCTGTCGGCGTAAACTTGGTTAACACCTGTTTCTGCAACGCATTTTGCTTCGTACGGCTTCGTGATGAGGTTCCATGATTCTTGAAGGAGCTTGGGCACCTTTAACAAAATAAACGGATGAAGCAGGTAGCAAAGAACGAAGACGGTACAGGATGTCCCAATTTTGATGTGATTTAGGATATTGGGGAATGGTTTTCACATTCTCGGTCACTTTTCTAAAAGGTGCTTAGCGGTTTTGACATTTCTCGAATTATTTTGAAAAGTATCTAAAAGAAAACACGGAGAAGAGGTTAAGTAATTGTACTTTCATCTTGCATTAAACTGTTTTTATCTTTTTTCATTTTTTGGGAGGTTTTCAAGCTTGTGTTGTTGAAGTGGAACACCCTGTAGTGAATAATGATAAACCACCGAATTAAACATTTATAGCGATACATAATCAAGCAGTTAGTTATAACAAACAGTGTTTTGACATACCTTTTCTATGTTGATTGACGAAACCAGGGGCACGAAAACACACACTAACGTTATAATTAACTTCATTTTGCGTAGTGTAAAAATATAATTCTCAAATAGACAGCTTTGCTATTAAGTACAACTAAGATTGGAATTTATTCCCTTGACCTCATATTTTTGTTGTTTCAATAAACGCCTACGATTTGTTGTGATAGTGTGGGTATGTAGGGAGGGGATCTATTAATTTTACTACGTGTGGAAGATCAAAGTGAAAGCACAGCGTATATCTGTGGTGAAAGTGACTGAGGTTATCAAAGAACAATAGTCATTTATTTTTTTGGAGGCGCTCTTTGAAGGAATATTTACCATTTGTGGACACTATTTCTTGTTAAAAGTAAGGAGGAATTTAGTGACCGTATTTAGATATTAGGTTTATCGTTTATGTCATAATTTTTGTTGCTACCCTAATCTCAAAACCCAATAGGTGACATAGGAAGTCAGTTCCAAATAAGTTCATGATTCTAGAAAGATTCACTCCGAAAAATTCGCCCCTGAAAATTCGCGTTCGCGGAGAATTCGCCCTCAAGTAATTCACATTAGAAGATTCTCCCTCGAAAATTTCGCCCGTGTACCTAAAATTCGCTTCTGGTGGAATACTCCTTGCCTCTTCCTCTCGTTATGCGCTCACATGTACCTATATGTAACCCCCATCCCCCACTAGGTATTTTGTCGCTGATATCTATGCCACTTGGTACATATGGTACCAGGTAAAAAATGACCCCCCATTTTTTTGACGGAAATACAGTTTTGAAACACCAGGAATCCGAATCAAACAAAATCTCGATCGGTCCGTTAACCTGTCGGTTCGTCTGTACTCTCACATCCGGTTAAACCACTGAACTGATTGGAACCAGATTTGGTATACATATTCTTAGAGATAAAAGAAAGGGCTGAGAGGCTTCTTCGCAGAACGCGCATGAGCAGGTGTGGGGGCGGTATCTGTGCTAGTCACAGCAAATTTTTTAATCTGACAACGTTATTTTGCTCATACTGAATAACGTAAAATAACGTTTATTTTATAGCAGATGTAAAATTGACATTCTGATATGTTTGAATGAGTAGGCCAAGTCGATTTTAACCATATAGTAGATACAATCACTTTAACGGCAAGGGCAGATAAAGTGAAATATATGGTTATGCAGTCTAATGACATCTGTCATTCTTATTTAAAATGGCACGCGGAGCACGATATAAAATGACGTTCACAAGGATAAAACCAGTTTCACCCCAAACCCCCTCTTTTGATGAAGGCGTTAGTTGGTAGAAAATAGTTCCTTTTATTGAGATCTTTAAGTGCAATAAGTACCATGAAAGATAAAATTAATTTCTACCCCCGCCCCACCATCCGGTCATTCACTGATCTTGAAAAGGAATCACGTAGGATAAGTTATTATATTTTATTTATTATTTTATTTCAATTCGCAATGGTCGATTACGGCTGTGGACTAAATTTCAAGTTTCTATTATTATATTAAATTGATCATCTGAAATAAAAATTTCTCTGTTAACTTGACCAAAAAGAGAGAAGACTACAAAATATGGTTCTTGTACATCAAACCAATGTGTTTTGCCGTTTTCCCAACCAAATTAGACGGATTTTTTGAAAAATGCGCCAAAAACTGAACTGAATATATTGAAAAGGGTATGAAGAGGACAGACGGACGGGCAGAAAAAGTCCTTGCAATAACGCATCCAACTCCATTGCAAAATAGCGAAAAAAATTATCTTTTGCGCTTTTGTTTTAAAAAATAAATGAAACAAAAAATGATATGCGATGAGAAATTATATACCAAATAAATTTTATTAGAAACAATTTTCCGTAAAATAGAGATTTACAAAGATATATACGATTTTCCATACGTTTGGGCACCCTGTATACAACAAAGGGTTCTTAAAAAAACTGCAATGGCGCAAAGATTTCTGTTTACGGCGCATTTGAGCGTATAATAAAAAGTACGATGTAGTGCAAAAAAACGTAATTTTTGAAAAAGTTAAGACTTAACCGTGATGGCGCTAGCTTTAATTCAATTAATAATCTTACTCCTAGCACAAATTTGCCCTTAAATGGGATTAGGGCATTAAACCAAATTGTAATATGAGGACAATAAATAATGCAACTAATTTAAAGCTAAGTCACTTTCCCCAGTTACGAAAAATGCGAATAAGTCAGTATATCTTTTCGTGCGTATTATTTGGAAATGACATTGAGATCCAGAGATTACGTCGTAGTGGAAAACTCCCCTAGGATACGACTAGCGTTCGTTGGTATGTGTAGCTTCTTTCGTCGTTATTCACACTGCGTTTATACGATAACTCCTTACTTTCTGGTCCACTTAGCTTTGTCCGCGATTAAAAATTCTCGTAGATGACTATACGCTAGGGCGATTGAAACGCGTCTCTCCTCTTTCCTTTGACTATATTGTGGTGCGAGCTTGAAAAGGGAACCGCCGCAAAACCCACGATTGGCGTCTATTTCCCACCAGTTCCATTTTTCGTCACTGTACTCGATGCAGACGCGATTAAATGGTACAGATAGAATTGTTATCATTTGTACTCTTACCCAACTAAAAAATGGAAACCCGTAGCGGGTCAACGATAGTCAGAAGTGATATAATGTAATTAATTAAACGCCCAAAATCTTCAAAACGTCAATGTCAACGTTTTGCGAATTTATTGTGATGTAACACCTGTTTCTACAGGCTTCCAGGAATCGGAGATTTAGGGAAAATTGCATTCGTCTTCTACGTGTTCAATGGTTTAACTGTTTTGTGAGAGACTTCAATACAAGAGTTTAGGTATTTTTTATTGTAGGGTTGTTGCCTGAATTATTGCTATTTGGCTTTTACATGTAAAATGCCCCTTGGAAGGTTTAAGGCGTTTTAAAACGTGTTTCTGGTTGAAATTAAATGGTACAGTACTTAATCCTATTTTTCGGTATTTCACACTGGATTTACTACAACTTTGTTCTTTCGAAGTTTGCACCCTACCGACATGGAGACCCGATTTGATCTACATTACCTACGTCACTTTCGTCGTTTCGAAGGTTCTTTTGTGTTAGTTTGATTACGTTGTATCCTTCAGTTTAGCTTTGTTTGTACATGAATATATTTAGTTACCTGCGCTTTGTAAGATAGTTTTTGAAATAGAATAGAAATTTAGTTACATGTGCATCTTAAGGTAGTTTTCTTGAAGTTAACGTTTATCCTTTTATATATTTCACCGATTTGTACGACCGAATAGTTGCAATCAAAATTTTCCTTTTGTTTAGTTAACGTAAATTGAATTATTGATTTTTATTTAGTGTTAATTACGGTTTTAGTGTACAGGTACCGGACTGTCAAACGTTAGAAATTGCTATCGCAATATTTATGTGCCGCGTTATTCACTATCAATCTTGTTTTTGTTGTTAGTGTTTTTTATCTTTTTTTAGGTTGTTGGAAAGAACAAGATATTTTGAATTATTTCAATAAAAGGGCGCCGTTTGTTTTGCGAATTTAGAATCGACTACGAAAGCTTTATTGACAAACGAAATCATTAACAACGTAAGCTGAAAAAAAGGGGTTGATATATGACTAAGTAAAACTAAACGTAATAATTATGTGCTGCAACTCGCTTAAATGCTTAAATGTCGAACTATACATTTTGCCATGGTCATGCTCTTTTCACACACATCATTTTCAAATTTGGTTTCATCCATACATGATTCAAACATTGCAGGTGTAATACCAGCCACTTGTCGTATAAATTCGTCCTTAACCCATTCGTCCGAGGCGTTTAAGATTCCCATATTCTTACCAAGGCATGCCAAGTAACACTTCAATGCACGATCATCGAGATATTCACTATATAAGAACAGTCGGTCCGCATATACAGAATTAACTCCAGTTTTTGCGATGCACTCCTCCTTAAATGGTTTTGTAACGGCATCCCATGCCTCTTCAAGGTGCTTGGGTACCTTTTCGAAAATAATGGGATAAACGTTACAGCATAACAATTACAGGTAGGTACATACCCGTTGGGCCGTTGCGAAACTGACCAAAAGGGTCAACATGAACACTGACGTAGATACTGCCTTCATCATAGTACTTATAGAAGCATTGAATAACACAACCTTTTCTTTGATGGATTAAGTACATAATTATTTCTTATGTCAAACTCAGATAAGTGCCCTTTAACCTTTTACAGGCACAAATCAAATTTGATGTTTCGCAAACTTTATGATTATACGCGACATTGAAAATAATAACGCTGTTGAATACATTATTTTAAGTTTACAATAGTGTTATTTCATTTTGGATAGATGGAGCATGCATGCATTTATTTTAATTTAGTTTGGGAAATTTTGGATGATAAGATTTCAATTTCCATAGCGTTGTTGTGGTAAAGTTTTGTTGCGTGTGAGGTGTATCTACAGCGTCGTAATTAATATTAATCGTTCACCTATCTGTTAATCAATTTAGAAGATGAACCATCCTGTTCTTTTCTTTTACCTTGCCCTATATGTCTCCTTGCAACCGAAGCTAAACAAAAATAGTGAATTGCTTCAATTCCAACGATTTAGCCAATGATTGCTGAAGGCCTAACTGCGAATTCTGCCAGAGGAAGCATAGCTTCCCACTTGACAAGCAATGTTAAAAAAACGTTTGGTACGTTAAACGAATGTTGCATTTTGAAACAACTCGATTAAACAAAACATCAACGTTATATCAACGATACTGGAATGGCTTTTCTTTCTAAACCTTGGTTACGACGTTTTTGTAATGTTAAAAATTGTAACCTTTTGGACTTGCGTCGCTGGAACGGGACATTAATACGTTAAAATAACATTCAGAAGGCTAACGTTATACCAATATTACTTTGACAACGTTTTTATGCAAAACCTTGTTGCGATGTCATTATAATGTTAAGTAATGTGATGTTATTAGCGTATGTTGACGGAACCATACATAACTACGTTAGTTCAACTTTTAAAAGCTTAACATTACAACAACGACATTTTGGTACTGTTAAGTTGCACAGTTACAGTAACGTTCTTGTAATATTAAAAATGTGCCTTTGGGTATTGCACAACGAAAAAATAGCTGGTCGGTTACTCATCACTCGGTTTATCTTCATTTGCAGTTTAACATGTTCGTTGAATGTTGGTTTTCTGTGAATTGATTGATGTGATTCAAAATAAGTGGAGGATAGTTTAAATTAAGTGCTTAATAATTGTGGAGTTTTTTGGGTTAGACATTGGCGATTGTGTTTTTTTCATCAAGGATGAACGACAATGACTTCAACAAATAAGCTGAATAAGCTATCCATTTACGGCGATTTTTACGTGTTGAATTTCTCTGTATTTTCCACCTTGTACGCATATTTTTATTTTAAATCAAACAGTTCTACCAGGGTTCCTCCTAGGCGTTAGCAGTATGTAAAAGTACGTAAACGAAGTAAATTATTTTATGGATGTATAACCTAACTTTTTTAGAATCTTCCACAATGTCTTTTTCACCAAAACATGACGCGTTCGTCTTAAAGGAACATTATCGAAGTGCAAGTGTACAGAATGGAATATGGACGTATTCCATTCAGTCCTGTCGCCAGCAATTCTATCAAGAATTTCCTGATATCCAACGTTTTCCTACAAGGTATTTTCCATTTACAAATACTCCATGATGCCGAACAACAGTTTTACGATGATCGATTAATTAGCAGAGAATTGTGGTCACCACGTTCTCCAGATCTAAGCCCGTTAGATTTTTTTTCTGATTTTGAAATACAATATTTTTCGAAATCGTCTGCACATCACTGAGGAACTTCAAAATGCAATCGAAGAGGAACTAATGAACATTACACCAGTAATGTTAGAATGAGTTTTCGATTATATGAAAATATGTGTGTAACTGTGCAATCTTTATAATAGTGGGACATTTTTAACAATTTTGTGAAGTGATTGATGTGAATGAAATAATTTTTTATACATTAAATTTCTGGTACAAAATTATTTGAATTATTTTGAATTTGAATTTTTTTACATTGTGCACTTTAGTATCAAAGTGCAAAAATGTTTATTAAAGTACACAATCTGTGACAATACTAAATTACGTTTCTGTCATCCTTGTACATTGACGGCCGGTATTATAAAGCCAGACTTAACTTTGTTGTCAGCTAACGGTGTTGTTAAGACATTCCTTAACAACACTGTTAGCTTACAACATAGTAAATATGACTTTAATAATACCAACCGTCAATGTATAAGGATGATATATAGGTACGTAATTTAGTATTGTTTAATAAACATTTTTGTACCACGTTTATACAACATAAGAGAGTTACATCGCATTGGCGTTTGTTTCAAACGTTCAATTAACGTTAAATGCTGATGTTATAAAGTGTAATATGATGTAACGTTTGCTAAACGTAGGTATTTAGACGTTACAGAGAAACGTTCTTGAAGGCGGACATTAGCAGTCGCGGTGACGTTAATAGTAAGTTAATGGTACTTATACGCTAACGTTACAAGTCACCATTAAACGTTTATTAAACGCTAATGTTGCACAATTTTGTCATGTGGGTTTTTACTCCATAAGTCGACTTTCTGTTGCAACAATCAGCGCACATTGTTGAAGGAGAAGCAGTTCTGAATAGTCAGTGGCATTTCATTCCGCCATACATGGGAGGACTTTGGGAAGCTGGGGTAAAAAAGGCAAAGTTTCACTTCAAACGAGTCTTTACTGATACTTCACCTATGAAGAATTCACTACACTTACGCCTTCCCATCTTATGATTGGACGAACCTTCTCCGCAGTTCCATATCCTACCGCAGAAGATATTAAGATGAACCATCTGTCAGGATATCAATATCTTGAGCGCTTACAATAAGAGTTCTGGCGACGATGGCGCCGAGAGTATCTTCATAAACCTCAAGTTCGGCAACAAAAGGGCATTGGATAGCACTAGGACAGGGGTCGGCAACCTATTGAAAAATTATTTACATGTAAGATAAAAGCCAGGAAAATGACAAAATACTGGCGAGGCAATATTGAAGTACGAGGCCGGAAAGGGGCCGAGTACTTTAATTTCCGAGTTGGGTAATGTCATTTTACTGACGAGTTTTGTATTAAATTTTACCTGAAATCGTATTTTAGTATACAATTTCATTTTTATGTAGAACTTTTGATTAATGTCAATCTGTTATTGATGACAGGAATCATAGACATGGCCATGGTACAATAAGACAAGGTATGCCTATAACTAAACGCAGATGACGTTTTTATCCCAATGACGTCACAAGAATCACCGCCCAGTTTGAAAATGACATACACTTCATACTTGAAATAGCGAAGTGCCATTGCAATTACTCAATTAATTTGGTTGAGTAATCATACTGAATGCCTCTCGGAATGCATTTAGATATAAATATAAGGCAACAGAGAAGCTAAACGTACCACTTAATATACTTATTTCAGAAATTTAATTAGCCTTTTAAGTTTTTTTAATTGCCGCTAGAGGTCTCGTCCTTATTTGAAAACGCTAATATAATTTTTACTTTTTTTACTTACATATTTTATTGTAACTTTAAATATTTGTATTGATAACATGCAATAATTGATACTTCGTAAGTTTAATGTGAGAAACTTGACGCAGTTGACATGGATTGAACAAATCTTATCACATTCGTAAAGGGGATACATTTTTATTAACTGGTAGGACTACACAAACCCCATTACTTTATTGAACGGTAGAGCCAAGTTATCCCAATGACGTCACGTATAGGCATACCTTGTCTTATTGTACCATGGACATGGCAATGTCACAAATACGGCCGGCAGTAAAGGGACAAGCGACAGGAAACGTAGTCTGATCTGCCTCTGTCATGGAATCTAAAATTTCTTGACAGAAAGTAGGAATGAAAATTTTGAAAGGTTTCAGGACGATTTTGGGTGCTTTTCCCAAGAGCTTTCAGTGAAATACTGCGAGTTCCTTACATTGGTGGTTTTGGTCACGTAGACCTAATTAAGTTGCTTTATCTGCAGTTATCGCCGACAGATGGTTGTCAAGACCTCGAAGGATTTCCTTCACATAATATGCATATTCTGTTCTTTATTGTTTAATAATCATCAACTGTGACAAATGGCTTATACCTGATTAAACAAAAAAAGTAAAACTAAACGTCTGCGTCACAGTGTGCTCACATGGCGAACTATGCACATTGCCATGGCCATGCTCCTTTCGCACACATGACTTACAGCTTTTGTTTCTTCGTTACATGAATTAAACATTGCAGGCGTCGTACCTGCAGCTCGTTGCACAAATATGTCTTTATCCCATTCCCCGGAGGCGTTTAGGATCCCCACATTCTGAGCAATGCAGGCCAAATAGCACATTAATGCGCGGTCATTAATAAATTCGCTATATAAGAATATTCGATCCGCATATTGAGGATTAACTCCTGTTTCTGCGATGCACCCCTCCTTAAACGGTTTTGCAGTGTCATCCCATAATTCTTTAAGAAGCTTGGGCGCCTTTTCAAAAATGATAGGATAAGCACTATAGCATAACAATTGATCTACATACCCTTTGTGCCGTTGTAAAAAGGCCCAAAATTGTCAACACGAGAATTGACGTACAAATTACCTTCATCATGGAAAGATAGAGGGCTGAATAAATATAAGTATTTATATCTGGGATAAATGCACTTTAACCTTTTTAATACCAAAATCAGTAATAATTGAGATCATAGGGGGCATTGGAAAATAATGATAACACGAAACAAACAACCAATTTATTATAAATCAGAAGCTTAAGGCTTTGCTCAGTTTTTACTTCTTATTTTGGTCACCATAGTCACCCATGTTTTCCTTCTAATTATTAACCATTCTCACCGCCTTCGACAGTACCGTATCTACCCTACCTCCTATTTTGGTTGAGACTGCAGTGTATCTCAGTTGTTTTTAAAGATAGAGAATTGTGGTCTTCGCGACCCTGTGCAACTTTTTTTTGTAGAAACGTTTAATACCACAAACAGAATCAATCTAGCTACGTTTGTTTCTGAGATACAGGGCGAAAACGAAAATTTGACTTTTTTAGATGTTATCCTATCTTACTACCCGTATAGGTAAAAACTGCCTATTTTTTACATACATTTACGTAAAATCCGGTA